CCATGTAGATCTCAAAGTATGAAACCTTGATGTGGAATTCCAAATGCTCTTCCATGGAGTATATGTGATTGAAGATGTCATTGACAATTCGGGGGATGATGCCTTGCATGCTGAGGTCTCCAAGGACGCCCTCCATTGTGTGTGTTTTTCCACTAGAAGTTTGTCCGTATGCAAAAATGGTCCCATTGTAACCCATAAGAACATCTGAAACAGCCATGGATTGGACATAATGGGAATAAATTAATCCACTAACATCAATTATGAATTGGATTGCGACAGATTCAAATGTGATTGGGAATCGCAAGTATGATTAGCATACAGCTTGAAGTCATCTCCCTATAATTCTACAGAGGAAATGGTAATTTCAAAAGATTATCTGGAATGAGTTTATAAAATTTCAATAAGGAATATTACATGTTGACACTATTTTCCAAAGTTTCCAAAGGGAGTATTAAATATATAGAATGCCATCATGTACAGTACAATCTCTGCTCCACCCAATACACCATTCTGGTGGCTCTCCCCAGCACCATACTAGTAATTGCCAATCGTCACCAATACTTATTAACTTGCAAGCTCCAGGGGCAACAAACATTGAAATTTCTCTGCTCAAGCCATCACAATGGCTCTCCCTGAGATGAATCAAATGCCAACCAAGCAAATCCTTCCTTGGGCAAAAACATACCCACGAGATAGTGAGAGTTTCATAGAGAGGCCTCTCTTCTACCATTTTAGTGAATTACCTACCATGTTATCTTTACTGATTTTCAGTGCCTTTTGACGTATCGCTCATGGAAGCTTAGAAGTTAAGCGAATTTCACTCAACTCAACTGGCTAAATGGCATGAAGACTGAACAAGAAAGTGTCTTAATCTATTAAAGACAAATAAGAAGTTCAACCTACAGTAAATTCTTGCCGGGATTGGTGCTTCCTGATGTGCCTTTTCCTAAACCTCGTTTTCTTTGAATTGGGTTCATCATTACATTTCGGGCGTCGAAAACTATCAGCCAGAACGAGTCTCGCTTCGACTAGCCTTCCGTGAAGCCAAGAGAACGACATTTTTTTAATATCGTAAAACCCAGATGGCAACGCTGCCGAAAATCCTGGGAGCAAAGTTTTATTAAGCCTTTTCGGGTCTGTGCAAAAATTCTATATGCGTCTTGTCAGTTCATCCATCAGTTCGTGGATAGCCTTCCCAGAAACGCTTGAACTCTTCGCATGTCTTATCTAATGCCGAAATGCATCCGCAGCGGATTCGGTCGCGATGAGTCAGCCTCCCAGTCCCCCTGACTGTGTTAGGGGGGCGACGATGACGCCATCCATGACGTGATGCAGCTTAAAGTAGGCGTCTGAGTTACAGCTGCTTCCAGCCCACACCTTTACGATGAGGAAAGTTTCCACCTCCCGAAATTGAGAGGGGCTAGATAGTATTCATGCGGAGGCTAGGCACAGCTGATAATGGACTGCAGCTTTCAAATCCTAGAATGCTTTCGTTTTTGTTCTGTTTTTTTTTTTTTTTGTTTCTCACCGGATCTGTTGCTTCTCCCAGCTCTACAAACACAGATAAGAGGGGCGGAGCGAAATGAATCTGAGCCAGAACCAGTTCTGCACTGAAAAACCCCGACTGAAAGCATTCAGCATACGTGCAGGGACGAAACACAAAACAAAAAAAATTCTGGCAGGCCAGGAATGATGGTTTTGTTACAGTCCTGAAGTACCGGCATTGCTTCCCACATGATTCCATTTCCATTCATAAAGTCACCTTGCAACCCTCTATTTGAACGCATTTGTTTCATAACGATGATGAGAGGACAGAGGAGAGAAAGAAAATGCGGAGGCAGGCCCTGTGGCTGCACGGAAATCCCTCATTATGCCCCTGCGAAACTACCTCGTAATTACATTGCAACTCCTCTGATATTTCTCTTTGTTTCAGCCTCTTTTCCCCGTGATCGAGGATGGGCAAACAGGTGTGGATCCATATCACGTACCCCCTTCTTTCACTTTTTTTTAAAGGCCTAAAGCTTACCGCAGGACGTTGCCGTGCCCCCACGAATTAGAGCGTTCTTCCGCCATCAGCCGATAAGCCCGCATGACCGATCATGCAAGTCAGGATATAAAAAAAAAAACAAAAAAAAAAACAAAGGGGTGATGTAACCCACACAATCAAACAGGCCAGGTTCATAGCATACTTTCTGGACTGGAACACGCGATGGAATCCCGCGGCCTACGGGGCACACGATCACGCGCCCCCGAAACCTCCTCGTCGGGAGCAAAGGCACGCAGGCATCTCATCCACGCGAGCAAAGATCGCTGCAGCGTGAACGGCCAGCCCCCTTAGAGCTGAGTCTCCTTCCCTCTTCCCTTCGGAAATAATTTACGTCCCGTGCGGATGCATGCCAGCTCTCAGCCTCTGCCAACGCTCACGAGAACACACGTGCAAACTCGACAGCATTTTTAGTACGGTTCCCAGCAGTGAGACGACATCGACTCGCCACCTCTTCTTCGATTCTCGGAGACGTCACTCACCCTTATCCCGTCTCGCAATTCCCACGCCGTATCGCCCGCTTCCCCTCCCCCCTCACCCCCCGCTCAATCAATCACGTCTCCATTGGGGGACTTCCCGATGACTCCAGCGAGCCAAGGAAACTGAACGTCATCCCCCCGGCACGGCAGCCTCGCCATCCACGACCGAGCGACAGAATCCTCGGCCCTTCGCGAGGCACAGCGGGATCGTAACCGGGATCATCCCCGCCGGTCTCACAACGAGGGCACGACCGAATGATCCCCGCCGGAGATGTGAAACCAGCTGCCTCTATCAAACGGACCATCGGGGTTGAACAAAAAAAAATCATGGGCAACGTCGTCACGCAAATCTCGGTAACAGACCTTCAACCTTCCGGCATAATTGTCACACCACCTGTTTCGAGAGCCCCTAATCACATGATCCAGTCACATGCTTCCCCCCCCCCCCCCTCTCCTCCTTATCTGAACCGTTTCTTTTTCGGGCGATAGGCTCGACCAGGAAATATTTGTCGAATGATATACACTTATTAACAGTGAAGCTGACGCAAAGACGGAGACTATGAAAGAGAATATCTCAGCAATGACAGCAAGGAGCGACATGCAACTGTCAGATATGAATGTTCCATTCCCTGCATGACAACAAGAACTGCCAGAAACATGTCTTCATTTGGCTTCTGGAAATCGGCCAAGCCATTTGACGAACCGCCAAAGGAAAGTGCGAAACCGACGCGGAATGGGACTGTCTCGAGTCGTCACGGAAAGGCGTGTGACTTTCGGGGTTCATTTTCTCTTTCGTTCTCCGTAATGCCAGCGAGCAGCGATCGGCAATTGACCGCAACATTTGGCGAACCGCGCATGTAAAAGCCCCATCAGGGCTGAATAGCGTGTCTCTCCTTCCCGAACCGAAGCCCTTTGGAATGTGTGCCGAAAACCTCCACACGACCCCCAACACGGAAGACATTCGGTGAATCGCATCAAAGTCGTTCAGTCGCCCAATGACCCGTACGAGCGCGGGGCGGCCATACGCAGCGCCTGCCGATCAGCCGATGGCCGAGCAAGGAGGCGTGGTACAAATGCAACCCACGTTCGTGTCTGACCGGTGTGATTCATGAGTTGCTGCGATGCAGTCATTTTTCAGCTGAAGGTGCTTTACACGCACTGCTGACTTCGCTTTCTCTAATTTTTCTCTCCTTGTTTTCATCCTCCTGGTTCCTCTTTTTTTTTAAATGAGGTTTTCTCAAACGTTTTGACAATTTCCAGGCAGCAAATAACATCGAAGCCGCTTGGCGGTTTTGCAGAGAAAGGATGAAAATAAGAGCACTGAAACTTCCATGGCTCTTCATGCAGCCACTCGTGGAATACTCCCATTCCATGTAGCGATCTGCAGCATGGCTCCTTCATCTTTCCAGGGATGGCATGTAACACTGAATGATTTAATGGTGATGTTTTTCCTGTATCTGTGCCAAATTTCAGATTTGCATCTAATATCAATACTTCTTTTTAAATGTGCGGCTAAAATGAGAGCTGGTTGAATTAACCTATATTATAAAAACGTGCATTAAAAGCAAGGCTAAATTTCACAAGGCTATCCCTCTCAAAACCACACCCACCAGGGAAATGTTCACTGTATGGAGAGCTCCACCACAGACTACTTCAAACTGCTTATGAATGATGGCATCATTATTGCCTTTAGAAACTTTTGACAGCTCTTCATTCCTCTTAGAAAACTTAACCATATTTCATCAGCTGATCAACCATTTTGACTGAAAAAGTATGCAAAAATAGTGACATTAGATTGAAAGCTGAAATTTCTCACATGTTCAGAAAAAAAAAGCTATGAAAGCACTCAGTATTACAATGCTGCTCCTGGAAACATGAAGGACCTATGCCATAGCAATCATCATTTTTTTAAATGCACCTTGTAGATTGATTTCTTGGGCAGTTAGTCTTATGTTTTGTAAATGTCAGCAAATGAATAAAGACATCTAGGTATCATTTCATTGTCTTAGAAAAAGCAGAAAACATTACCACCTGCAAGCACATGGCTTTCAAGTAATGACAGCTGAGAAATTCCCATCCATTTTATGCACCAGTTTCACACTAGCATATCCAACAACTTGGAAATATTTTTTTTGTGTACCTCTGAACCCATGGAAAAAACATTCTTCACTTCCCTACAGCAAAAGCACATGATCTATAGCTGAAAATTAACTTAGCCACCAAGCTGATATGTAAATTGCTAAGCACCTGTGGCAAAGAGTATGTTACATGTGCGAGGTACAGTAAACCAGCCTGAGGGTTAATTTGAGATGGATAAGGAAAAATAAACAAAAAGCACCTGTTTACATTTCCTCTTGTACTTTCAGAGGCAGAGATTATAGTTATATATGTAAGCATCCAAAAGATCTGGCTGCAAGATATGTTATCACAAGGAGAACATGATAAATACTGCTCACGAGCATTGACCAACTCACCTTTAACGATGGTCCGAGCTGCTACATTGTAGACTTGCTCTTGAGTTGCACTGGGCTTCACCACCTTGTCATACACATATACTTTCCCCTAGAATAAAAAAATTACAAGGATCAATCAATCTGTCCTTTACCAGTCACACATTATTTTTCAAACGCATAAAACAAAATGATATAGGACTTTCATGGGAGACTGTAGGGCACCTAATTTCTCACATGAAGAAAAATGTTACTCAACCAGCACCAGCCTATGACCATGCAGGCCCAGGAAGTTAGAAACATCAAATATAGAAGGTATATCCCTCATCCTTTTGCCATTGAATAAGGTTTGGTAATATAAAATTTCCCTTTGTTCCATTCAGACAAGATGAAAATATCATTAATCCTAAATCCAAGACATCTTTCCAAAGTGTCTAAACCAAATCCTTCCTCCAATTAACTTGAGGGGTTGCATTAAAATTAAATGACATCAAATGTGTACTCACCCCTATGGATATGCAGTTGTCATCAGAAAACTTGACAATGAACTTGGACCCAATCCTTTCTTCAGTGTCATTGAGTGGCCTAAATCGACATATCACTTTGATGTTATCTTCAGCAGGCAGTTCACGTTCTTCCATAACCGGGGTTGACGTCATGTTTCTGATTGGTTCACTCACACATTTCAATCAAAACTCACGATCACAGATGAGTTGCTCTTTAATTTTAATTAAGAAAATAATTATTAACTAAAGTCCAATGAAATATTTGCAAATACTGAAAAGGTGGATGTATCGTCCTTCCACATAGCTCCACGCAGGTGACTAGACAAAATCCACCTGGCAAAAGAAAAATATCAGTTAGGACTAGCCTGTTGCTAGCCAACCAAATGCTTAACAGAAAATGTGTCTTACGTGGGAAAAGCTAGGCTAATAATGCCCATTTTTTGTTATAGTGTTGGGAAAGTCATATTTTTTATCAATGTGACTAAGCTTAGTTCTATGAAACAAAAGTTGTAAGCCTGCTTTACAATATTAAACTTGGGCTAGGCCTGTTCTGCTTAGAGTTAACCAAATGCGTCCAGTTAACTGAGCACGAGTAGAGTCACCCGGAATCTCTATTGATTGGATTACTATTATATAAAATACACACCACACCCACCTCCCGAACCTAACCTGGTCTAACTTAAGGAGAAACACAATATCCCTAGGGGGTACAGTCTCCTGGGCAACCCTATGCACTGCGTATGGTTAACTGTGTCCGATGGGCAACTGTAAGCAGAATAGGCCTACCTTCACCTAATCTGTAATTAGTAATCATATGATAGTTTCAGGGATTTTCCATGGCTATATTTTTCAAACGTTCCTTTACAAAGTTTTAATACAGAATTTGGTACTGAAAAAAAGCATTAACTAAGACTGACCCTTGTGAGCACTGGTAATTAGATGTGCCCCTGAATAATTCAAAGTCCATAAATGAGCCTATGCATCCCATGTAAGACACCATACCCACACACAACAGCACATGGGGAATACCACTAAAAATGGAAATTGGACAAGGGGCTTAGTCATGTGTTAAGTCTTATGATATAATGTCAGTGGAAGTTTTGTACAGTGCATGTCTGATGCTCTCTTCATATGTTGGGTTGTTCATTTATGAAGTATATCTGTGCCTACTTGTGGGTTGTGGCCTTTTAGGTCACTGCTCCTGTCCAACACATTCTGTATCTTTCTTCTTTAAAGTGATCATTGAATCATCTCTGACACACATTCAGAAAGCAGGCATGGAAGACTAACGTTAGAGAAAATTCAATTGCATATTCTTCCATGATGCAGTCACTCCAAGTGATAATAATAGGCACAAAAGGAAAGCACTCACCAAAAGAAGGTTTCAACAATCCTCAAAACTTGGCTATGTTAAGGAGTCATGGGTCTCGTCGGTGGCGGCCAAGATATAAAACTCTTGTAGGGGATTTAAGCCAAGGCCTAGTTACACGGCTCTCGAGAAGGATGTAGGTCGAGCCCCAGCTGTATGACTCTCGAAAGTGACTCTAAGCATGGATCTACGTTAAAAGGCGCTACGACTAGTGACTTAAGATCTTCATTTCCGTAAGATCCCGGTTAACTTATTACCCTTCTCATCAGTCCAGGGCATAACATTACATCTTAGTCTTACAATTACTCCTACCTTCTGTTAAATGCATAAACGAGTTTTTTCCATCAGGGCCTACACCTACATTAGGTTCCCTAGGTTACTTAACCTCTTGGCCTCCAGGACCGTGGTAGGACCTGTGGTCGGGCCTACTGGTCATCATGGCCGCCATTACGAAAATGGACAATCAGTCAAGTGACTGCAGATGTCGCTTCGAGCTAACCAACATGTCTGTAACGCATGTCCCCGTGCTGCTACGCACGTGACGGGTGTCAGTAGCGCAACAAGCATTAAAATAATCAGGGAAACTCTTACGTATAATTTCTCTTTCCCCCAAAATCACGTCATTGGCCAGTCCATCTTTCATCATGGGATTCTATCGTGTCGCAGTGTTCCTCTTGCACCTCTTGGTTTCCGTTGAGTGTGACCTAACGGAGAAGAAGCCAAATCTGAAAGCTGAGGTGCTGTCAAAAACGGGCATGGACATATCTGAGCTTCAGGAACTTTCAAAAAAAGACTCCACACCACCTCCCATTATATTAATACCTGGTGATGGAGGGAGCCAAATTGAAGCCAAGCTGAATAAGACCGATGTCGTTCACTACTTGTGTGACAAACATACAGAAGATTTCTTTGACTTGTGGCTGAACCTGGAACTCCTTGTGCCCCTGATACTGGATTGTTGGGTGGACAACATGCGACTGGAGTATGATAATGTGACCAGGACAACACACAATCCAGAAGGTGTCACAACACGTGTACCTGGTTTTGGCAATACAACAACTGTTGAGTTTTTGGATCCCAGCAATGTTTCTCCAAGCCGGTACTTCATTGATGTTGTGAAGGCGCTTCTTGATGCAGAGAAGAAATATAAAAGGGGAGAAACAATTCTTGGTGCCCCATTTGACTTTCGTCGTGCTCCAAACGAACTGAGTGAATATTTCATTGAGCTGAAAAAGTTGATTGAGGACACTTATGAAAATCAAGGAAAGCGGAGAGTTGTGTTGTTGGCTCACAGCATGGGTAGTCTTGTGTCAGTGTACTTTTTGAACCAGCAGTCACAATCCTGGAAGGACAAGTATGTTGCATGTCTCGTGAGCTTGGCAGGTGCATTTGGAGGGGCTGTGAAAGCCTTGAAAGTGTTTGCAGCTGGGGAAAACCTTGGGATCATTGTGTTGAGTCGCAAAGCTCTGCGTACAGAGCAGATGACTTCTCCAAGTCTGGCCTTCTTACTTCCTTCCAGAACCTTCTGGAACTCGTCTGAAGTGCTTGTGTCACGACCTAGTAAAAATTATACTGTTAATGACTATGAGGAATTCTTTAGGGATATGAATTATTCCATTGGCTTTGAGATGTGGAAAGATACAAGTAAACTTCTAGCAGATTTCCCTGCACCAAATGTTGAGATACATTGTCTGCATGGCTATGGAATTAATACAATTGAGCAGGTCATCTATAAAAAGGAAAGTAATTTCCCAATGGATCCAGATCTCATCTATGGTGATGGGGATGGAACAGTCAATATTCGAAGCCTTCAAGGATGTTTGAAATTCAAGGAAAAGCAGAAACAGCAGGTGTATCATTTTCCAATAAAAGGGGCTGAACACATGGAAATCATTCGGGATCCACAGGCCTTGCAGTATCTTGTAAAACTTGTGAAAACAGATAAGGCAATGGAAATGCTGAGACATCTTGGAAGCCTAAAACACAAAAATGCAATATGATGTAAATGTTCCTCTAGCCCTACATGGTAGTAGGTCAGTGGTAGTGTATTTTTATTTCTTTTTCTTTGCCAAATTTGTCATATGATTTGCCATATGAGCTTTTCAATAGGTTTCAATATTTTCATTCTTCAAAGATTTATATTTTTAGGGATTTTTTTTCTGTCACATATCTCTTAATGTCACAGTTTTAGGATAAAATATTTCTTTCTTTGTGTAAAAGCTGATGCTGGTTTGGGGGTCCTTCTGCAGGGATACTGTCCTCGAAGCTCAAAGTACTGTTAGATCTATTGTTGCCTTTCAAATAAGAATGTGTATGTTGGTTTATCTTTGATGTGCAATGCAAGTGCAACTTTTTATTTTTGCTTTTACAACCTCATGTTTACTCTTTGGTGATCTGGCATGGCTGAGCTTTGCTTCCTCATTTTCTGCTCCTATTCTTTCCATTCTCTCCCATGGCATTGATGACAAGCACCTTTTATGATGCAGTTTTTGTTACCTCCTTGGCTGTAAGATTTGGATCTATGTTTTCAGTTTCTTGATGACTTTTTGGACACTGCAATGGTATTTCAAGAAGATCCTGTTACTTCTTAGTTATTCTCCCAGAAATATGAAGGCTTGAGCGAGATATGCAGAGCCGCATTCATGTACTTTGAGTTGAGTGTCCATGGAGCCAGAATTATTTCATGCTTGCTTAGATATTTCCATTGGAGAACCCCCATGCATTGCCCATTTATTTCCATTTGTGGTACTCTCAGGAACTCTGCTTAGCTGATTTTTCTGGGCTGTTTGTCATGCACTTCTGACAAGTCTCCATGCTTAAATGGTCTAGAGGCCAAATGGACAAAGCTGGTCAGGGCACAATGCTTAAAGATCTAAGTGCTTTGTAGAGAAGCTTGTGCTCCACTAATGTTGTAGTGGAAGAAATTATTCACAGAAATTATTTTTAAAGTAATTGGTCGTATGACACTTGATGCTTTTTGATATTATAACCATCTCTACTGATACACTCTCTGAATAGAACAAGACAGATTTGGCACTGAAAACATAGATGTGATTCCAGGTTAGATTACTTGATGGAAGTATCTCATCTTTTTTTTCCTGGGCATAAATCTTTACCTAAATATTTTGGAATTCAAATGTGCAGAAAATTTCATTCTTAATAGTGCGACCTAGAAGGGAAAGAAAAGGAATTGGAAACTTTTTGGAGCAACTTTGTTAAATATATATTTTTTTATATTTAGAATTGTCATACTTTTTCATGACTGGGCCAGTATTCCTTGGACTAGAGCAAACCAGCTGTTCATTTTTGTGCTCTTGAGAGATTAGTTGCAAGGAAGGACTTCAATGATACACAGATCTTTGTGTTAGTGCCAAAAATTTTGTATCAGCTATCATGGAATTTATGATGCAGTTGAGAGGCTTGAGAGGTCTAATAATTCTTTCTTATTTCAGGATGCTGGCCACAGAAAAAATGTCAATACATTTGTTTTATTTTGATGGGACAGAAGGAGAAACACTTTATTTTTCTTTACTTTCAGTTCATTGTTACTAACATTGGCATATTTTATGGCATATGAATGCATGTGAAGGTTCCCATGATTCAGGTTTGCAACTTGATTCCATTTTTAGCTTTTTCCTGGTCAATGGGACTTGGACAGCTCTAAGGCACCAGGAAGTTGAACCATCTCTTACATGAACTTCATAGAAGTGAATTTCAAATGTTATTATTTATTTTGTTTTTATGCACATACATGGCTTTTTATGCAACTGCCAAATGCTGATCAGTTTGTAGAAATAACTGCTGTCCTCATCCGACCTCCATGGATTGGTGGATGCAATCATTTCCATAAATGGAATTTAAAAGTGCCAAATATCTGTCTTCAGTAGGCCTGTATGCATCAGAGGATTAATGTAAATGCACCAGTGGCCTCTCAGCTGAGTTCATCTGACTTATACTAGTACTGCATCTCCAAGGTGTCAAAAAAATGGTTTTTCCCCCCATTTTTGTTCACCTTTGTTATTCATGGCACTTTCTTGTACTTATGTCTCTACTTTGACAAGTTTTGAGGGCTTCCTTTCTCTTTGTTTATATTTTAAGTGAATTTTTAAATGTTTTTGCAGTGGCTACCATGTGGATTAGCTGTTGAAGAGCATTCTACCAAATTCAGATGTCACCGCATTTGTAGTTACTTGTAGCTGTTATGCCCAGTGTCCATATTTTCTTTTGGTTGTTATGGAACTTATATTTACCATCTTGTATTTACCACAACTATATCTACTTATATCAGAGATTCCATCCTCCCTTGTGTGAGACACGTGCTTTGAGTGTTTCATGCAAGATTCCCCAGAAATGTTTTGATACTTAAGTTTCTCAATCATGCAGGGTTTCACTAATGTGTGTTCATTAAACTTCAGCCCCTTGAAGTCAGCACAAAGAAGTGATTTTGCTAATGCCTTCATCAATTAGTAAAGAATGGAGAAAGTAAATGTCAAATCCAATAAGTTACCTGCTTGTTTTCATTCTCCTTCTGATGTGTATGCATTATGGCAGTTCACTCTTGCATGATTTTCTGGTTTCACAAATTAATATGAACTATTTGGTAATTTATGAGGATAGCATGATGTGGATGATGAGATGGGCAGTATGGTAATAATTCTGCATGCCTCACATGATTTAAAGCAAAAAAAAGCTATGTGACAGTGAGCCTCTTTGTGAACTTTGAAGCTTCTGCCTCAGCACAGGAAGGATTGGTTGTTACTGTCTTCAGCCTAACTGTACTTGAATTCCATCTGCAGGCATGCAGTAATTTTGTGGATTGGCCATGTTGAGGTGCTTTCTGTTTGAAGATCTTTGAATATTTGTTTCAATAGATTCAAACTTTCTTGTGATTTGGAGAATCTCCAAATTCTAGTTTCCATTGAAGATCTTCATGTGTGGTTCTGGTTTTTGCTGCAGTCAAAAGGTGATATTTTCTCTGGCTTCATTGCTCTTCCATACCAAACTGGTATTTTGTGATTTGTAGGATTGATGTGTTCATTGATCAAGGGCATGAAGAAATAAAACTGAACAGTATTTTTTCCACGCCTTGACTACATGATTCTATTGTCAGCTGAAGCTGCATCAGCAGTCTGTTGCTCGCAGATTTCTCTGAATCTCTTTGCCCTGCGATTGCACTTGTCTTGCATTAACTTCTTTTTAAGTGCTTTGTGTTCTTGTTGTGGGAGGTGAATCCCCGTTCGCTTGATGCGGAAATCTTATATTTCAGCTGTCAGTGTTAAATCTCATGAATGAGATTGTCCTCGTAATCCTAAGTCCAGACCTGCGACTGGAAAGTGTGAGGATAGTCATTTCGGATTTCTTGAAGGAACCAGTTCGTATGTATGTTGATAAAAATGTAATATGGGAACGTAGCTAATCAAAAGGGGAGACATTGAATGAGCCTGATTTCTTATGGCAGATGGTCGAGTCTGCAGGTTGAAGTTGCTCGTAATTGTGATCAAAAGCCAATCTCTAATATCCTAATAGCATTTTAAGAGCGACGGAGCCCGGCAAACGTGTGCCCTTGAGGAAGTAGAATATAATTCACCTGCTCAATTCATTTGTTATTAATTGCCTTCAAGACTGAAAGTAATAGCTTTAAAATTATAAAACTATGTGACCGTTCAGAGAGAACAGAACTTTCATGTCAAATTGGAAAACGTATATAAGCCCTGTCTACAGAAAGCGGCAGCGTAGCGTCGTTGCCGCCTATGCATTTCAACGATTGGAAGCCTCCTATCTTTCGCGTGTGACTCAGATTTGAGGATTTGCAATTCAAATGATTTCCGCGAGGGCTTTCCTCGGAGGATAAGTGGCTGATATTAATTCCATACGAGGGATCTCATGCATATGTATTGTGCCAGGATAACGGGGTGAAACGAAATAATACAGCGGATGCAGAAATGTATTTTATGTTGGTACTATCAGTCCTTGAAATTCTTCAATGACCACTAGTAGCCCCACTAAGACAGGAAAAAGAAGGGAAATAATACGAAAATTCACGTTCACACTTGCGTACTAGTTCAACATATACGTTCACCGTTAAGTACTACGGGAATTAGAAGTACATGAAAATGAGACTTTCATGGAAATGCATAGACTTACTAAATAAAAGGGATCTAGCCTCACCGGGGTGAGGTGAGTCCATCAACACTCCATCAATCGATGGTCTCAATGATTAATCGATCCCTTCATGACATGATCGACAAGGACTGTCAACTCGGAAAGAAAAACCGGCGATCAGAAATAAAAAGTCGGAGTTGAGTCCAGTAGCCACAGCATTCTTTCACTCGAGAGGGACTCGAAGCTCTGTGATTTCATGAGGTCTTATTTTTAAACGTAAATGAAAGACTATGTTGTTTGATGAGTTGCCGATGACATATTTTACCACAATTTAGCGATCATCCTTGAGCAAGAGCTAAAAGCAAACAGAAGCCGTACAGGATACTTGTTGCCAGGCGGAAGATGCTGAAGGTACATGATTGCACCTTGCAACCGGAATTCAATTTTTAAAATTATTTCTGACTCACTGCTCTAGTGGGTGGTATTCATTTATTTATTTATTGCTCAGATTCAGCGGCGTATTTCTTGGGTTGCATCAGAACTCCAAGGAAATGTTTGAGTTTTCCTTTTTATCGAAGCCGGAAACTCGCAGCGATAAAATTCCACTTCAGAGAACAAAGCAATTGACAGGAAATGACTCTTTTCTCAGCATCTAGTCACTAGATTCTCGCGGAGGCGGGATTGCTTCGTGCAATCCGTCTAGAACTGTCCATAATTCGGCTTCGATTTCTTTCGAATGCCGAACCAATCGTTCCAAGAGACTCTTTCGTCTCTTTATTTTTTCATTCTCATAATTTTTAATTTCATCACTTCAGCAAACTCTCACGGAGTCGTTTGTCCCACGTTCTCTAAGGTGACAAGGAAGTCAAACTTAATTAAAATTAGGACCTCAACAAAGCATCATAATTCATTCCATTCGTCGTTCCACACAGGATACAACAAAAATCCCTCAAACCGCACCGATTGGATCGCTCCCGACGATAAGTAAAGATCCACTTTGTCGCCCCTCTTCAGCTCGAGCAGATAGGACCCCCCGATCGTGTTGCTTCCTCCAGAAGTGTACAAACGTTCCTGAATTTGTTCGTTTCGTCTCAAGACCACCTCGCTCTGATAGTGGTGAGAGTTCCGGAAATGATACCGGAACTCGTATATGCCGTCCGCGGGTGCGGTGAAAACGCCGCTGCTCGGATCCGTTGCGTTGCCCACGTTCAATTCGGTCCCCTCGAAAGAAATTTTTCCCGTCTGGCTCCAACTGTTCTTCCGATACGCATTGAAATACACGGGATGCTCCGCGATGCGAACCCCAGTCTCCACCTGAAACTCGGGGTCCGTCTCGCTCAGGTCCATCCTGCAACGGACGACATCCAGCCGTCCATTCCTCTCGACCAGATGAAATCCCGTGTGACCGTTCCCGGCTCGGCGCAGCGTCGAGCACGACTCCGCCGGATGCTCCGCCCGAGAGACCCCTCCCTGGACGGCCTTGCCGCTGGATGCCTCCCCCCTGCAGACCAATCCGCCCAGCGTGAAGTTCGCTCTCTGCCCTTCGAACTGCAGTCCGCCGAATCGCAGCTGGGTGATGGGCAGCGCCGTCTCGTTGGTGATCGTCCCCGAGTCCGATTCCCACTGAGGCGCTTCCGCGTCGCAGTTGCAGAGCAGGTTGTTGTCGATGCAGGACTCGGTGAGGCCGCAAGCGCACGTGTGTTCCGTCGCGTTCCATCCGTGCCAGTAATATTGAGGCTGGCCGTGGCGGTCGACCCACCATGCGTATTGCGTGGCGCCGCCGGTGCTCAGGGCCGCCGAAAGGCAGCCGTACTGAAAAAAAAGTCAATAATAAATAAATAATAAATCGAGTTGATTTTTACATACAGTAATTTATTGATATTTTTCAGCCTTTCTGGAGAAAAATCGACTCGAGAACCGCTGCAGAGAAAACTCACTCTTATCTTCTGGTCGCAGGACTGAGACCGATCGATCAACGCCACCATCTGCGTCATGGAAGCGTTGTACGTCACGTTCCGACCGAAGCAGCCGGGGCGATCGCAGCGGTCGACGACCGCGTCTTCGTCCATCGCGTCGTGCAGGACGATCGTGGAGACCGGATCTACCGGAGAAAAAACCTCCTCATCTCGAAGGTCGTCTCCAAAGGTCATCGTAAAGGACAACCTCGATCACGGACCTGTTTCCATGTCGCAGAAGACCTTGATCGGCGGGTCGCCGACGAGGACTCCGTCCGGATCCACCGAGTAAATCCCCGTCGTCGTCACCCCCAAGTCCGCCAGGCTTTGGCACGTTCTGGGCGCTGTCGGGCGAATTTCCCAACTCGCAAATTTTTTTTTTGCAAACGATCGAAAACTTAAAAAAAAAATTGGACTTACTGTTTTGCAGCGTGTTAATTCCCTCGAGAAATTGCAGTCGTCCTTCGACTTCGTCCCGGCGGAGTTTCGTCTCGTTCCGATCGCGCTGGAATTCGCGGAGCCGGGACTGGAGGTCTTCGTTGGAGAGCTTCAGGTCTTCGTTGGAGAGCTTCAGGTCTTCGTTGTCTTTCCTCAGGTCTTCGTTGGCTTTCCTCAGGTCTTCGTTGGAGAGCGCCAGCTGCGCGATTCGCTCGGCGTGCTCCCGCGTCGTCTCCGTCAGGGCCGAGAGGTTTTTCTCCAGGTCCATCAGGTGAGCCCCGAGCGTCTGGGAAGACGCGAAAAAAAAAATATTCATTTAACGCAGGGATTCCCAACGCAGGAGTCGCGACTCCATTCGCGAACCGGGAACTAAATGCAAAATCGTGTTTTTTTCTTGCGATTTTTTTGCACTGTCTGACTTCGACCGGTGCTTGGGGTCGGGAATTCTATCAAAGGGATTTTTTGGGGTCGCGCGGGAAAAAAGGTTGGGAAGCCCCGATCTAATGCAAATAGCATAATCTTGTGCAAATATTGATCAAATCTCAAATAAAATATTCTGCAAATCTCGTGCAAATATTGAGAGTGCGGAACGTCCCATCACCGTGAGAACTCCCAGATAAGAGAGAAAAAAAGTTGCAGCATAGTCAGTGGAGTTGCTTGCGAAATTTCTTCTGAATTTGCGGTTAACCGACGGTTCACCGCAAAATTGGAGGCAAAATTTGCAAGGAGGGAAATCTGTCTCAACAATGAAATTTCTATACTAAAAAAAAAAATTTGCGCAAAAGTGTACGAGGAAATTGAGTCGGATGAAGATACCGCGCTATCTGGCTGGAGAACTGTCATCGAGTAACACTTGAAGAATTCGAAAATTATAGCCCTTATCTGGGGGGGGGGAGGGGGCGGGGGAGGGGAGGGGAGGGGAGCCCCCCCCCCCTTTGTATCTGGGGGATGAAACGGAAATCTCTCTGTTCGGATTGTATTCCGGAGTTGAGTCCCTTTTCCCGCGCGGAGTTTCGCTTACTTGTCCAGAGGCGGAAAGGGCGGAAAGGGCGGAAAGGGCGAATGCGATGAGACTGGGGATGCTCCTCATTTTCGCCGCGTCGATTCGCTTTCTCGGACCTGGAAACGAAGCAGAACGTCATCCGTTGAACGCGCGTGACCGCGCGCGACCGCTCCGGCATCCTCGACGGCTCCTCTCGAGATCCCGGCACCGCGACGCGCGTCGTCGCGCGTCGCCGCGCGGCGACCGAAATCGAGCCGATGGGGACGAGCAAGATGCAGGCCGAAACAGTCAAGGGCAGTCAAGGGCAGTCAAGGGCAGTCAAGGGCAGTCAAGGGCAGTCAAGGGCAGTCAAGGGCAGCCCGCCATTGCTCGGTTAGGTTTAGGTTTTAAGTTTTTACACTAATGTAATTAATGGTTAATTTTTCGAGTTAAAAAGGGAACATTTTTCGGCTCGCAATGCAATCGTCCCTTCTTCGACGGCTTTCTTTCAAAGCTTCTTCAACTTTTTCGAGTCTATATCGATCAAAATTAGTTCTTCCATCGAAGTATATTTTAATGCAATTATTAATAAATTAATAAATTAAAAAAATAAAATTTAAATGTAATTTCACGGCAGCGACACGCTGGAGATCCTCGAGGAAAAAGAAAAGATTTTTGTCAATCTTGTGCTTCTGCGAGCCCGCACGTGACTTCGCCTTCGCTTAATTTTTTTCAAATTATTATATTCCTTTAGAAATCCGGGAAGTTAAAATAATGCTCGACCTAAAACTCGAATTTGGACGCGATCAATTCCTGGAATATATTATTTGGTGCCATTAATAATAATAACGCAAATAAATCAATCTCTCCCGACTCGGGCGACACTTACGTGCTTCTGGATCGGACGAGCGGAGGAGACCGGCTCGGAACTCGACTGGCCGGCTCGGAACTCGGCTGGCACTTGCTGCAGCCGAGATACGAATCCGTAATCGCTATCGGTTTCCTCTTCCCGTTCTCGCGCGTTTCTCCGCGATTTCCGTTTTTAGAACGGTCGTCATCGGTTTGCGATGATGATCATCAAGGGGCGATGATGATCGTCGTCGCTGAGCGATGATGATCATCAAGGGGCGATGATGATCTTCGACGTCGGGTGAGAAGTGCGATGCGATCGAGTCAGTTGGCGGACGTCCGACGTTCTACGACGGAAACTGCGCACCGCGGTCCTGTTAAACTCTCGGGGGTCGTAACGAGATGACGTCATGCCAAAAGGGACGTGACGTCATGCAAAAAAAGGGACGTGACGTCATGCACGTCAGAAAAGGCCTGTCGATGACCCTATAATGGATGTTTTTGATGAGCGCTGTGTTTGCTCGAGTCGCGATGAGCACGGCGATGCACGATCATCATCCTTTTTTTTTTTTCTCGGATCTCAGAGAAAAAGATGCGAGCATTCGCCTGCAGCCGACCGGGAACTCGATCGTCGACCGAGCTGCGCGGGTCGTCGGGGTCGGCCCGAAAGAGTCCATCCGCGTCTCGGCTTTCCGCCTGAATCTGTTCGATTGTCCCGTTCGATTGCCCCTGATTGCCCGGATGTTCGAAATTCGGATGATGCGAGGCGGGACCGGTTGAGAAATGTTCCGGATCGAGGATTTGCCCGATGACGTCATGCATCCCCTCTTATTGATCCGAGGCGTGGCAGTTAGGAATTCCACCGTCATCCCTTGGAAAGTCGATGAGGCAGAACCCGCTGGAAATTGTTAGATCGGGAAAACGGGGATCTCTGAGGATGGGAAGCATTTTCCCATCGTTCATCTGATACTCGAGAGTTCCGGCGTGTCTCGTTTCAATATTATGGAACGGAACTCCCTGAAATTTTTGGGGAGGAGGGGTTCACGGGATCGGCTCGATATTATTACGCCAATTGTGAAAAATCCAAGGCAATGGGTTTCACTTAAACGGAATGGGGCAAAAGTCGATATAATAATGTGAAAACCATTTTTCAAAGGCTTTTCCTTTCTTCAACCCCAACCCCAACCTCAACCTCCCCCCCTCCCCTTTTCTTTTTTTTTTTTTTGGGNCCCCAACCCCAACCTCAACCTCCCCCCCTCCCCTTTTCTTTTTTTTTTTTTTTTTTGGGGGGGGGGGGGGGGGGGGCACTCCTTAACATTAGGCCTAGGCCTAAAAGACGGACTGTCTTCGGGTCAGACCTAGGCCTACCCTTATTCGTTCAAAAGAAACTCAATCCTCGACTTACGGCGCCAATTAGGCCTATGAGGATTAATTCCTAGTCTTCGGGACATCTCGTCGAGGACGTGTAACGTTAGGCCAATCGCAGGCCTATTCAGTCTTTCATGGCCCTATTAAGAGAGTGCGTATAAAGTTAGACCGATTAGAGGCCTATTTCGAGTTTCATTAAACATTTCTGTGCGGATGAGGAACGTTAGGCCTGTCTAGAGCTCCTCGAGCCGTCTCCACGAGTTCCGAGAAGAAAAGCCTCTAAGAAGCCTAGAATCCAACTGGGCGCCATTCGTCGCCAATTTACAGATGTCGGAATGAGACATCTCCACATCTCACCGACTCGATCGGCCACTGATAGCCACCATTTCGATCTCGGCTCACCTAATGAACTTGGCACAAAATTATCTCATACAGAAAAAAAAAAAAACAGATATCCAGACACCGATACTAAGGCCGAAGAAGTCATGAATCTCCCATAACTAAGGCACGATATCCGGCAACTCTGGCGGAGGGGACCGGAGCCATCACGCTAAGCCTAAATTTATCATCAGCCCTTCTCGATCCACTGCAGGATGAAGGCCTCCCCTAGAAGCTTCCACTTTTCCAGGCCCTCGGCTGTTCGTTTCTACATTGGTCCAGCGAATTTCTGGACTTCGTCAATCCATTTCGTGTAGGAGGGTCGTTTGGGTATCCCTTATCCCTTGGTATCCAGTTGAGGATTTCTGTCGTCCATCGCTGGTCTGATCTTCATAGCCTAAATTAACGACATCTAATTTCATTTTTTAAAATGGCGAAATGGTGCTCAGGATACAACAAAAAGGACACTTTTTTCACCTACAAGCCAATATCTTTCGTTTGGTTGGTCACTTTCATCCAAAAACTCTCAAGGAGTGGCTACCCAAAGGGGGGGAGGATGGTTATAGTCTCTTTCCTCTTTCAGAGGAAAGAGACCAACCCTAAGATATTGACTCAGATGACGAAAAATGTCTTGTTTGTGATGCACCATTTCGCCATTAAAAAGTGAAATCAGCTGTCGTTCAATTTAAGCTTCGGGTGCTGACTCCGTATCATCTCTGTGTTGCCGGATGTCGTGCCTAAATTATGCCAGATTCAAGACTGTTTCAACCTTCGTGTTGGTCTCTGGATATTCCGTCTTTAATGTATGAGACATTTTTGTTCTGAGTTCATGAGATGAGCTGAGAATGAAGCGGTGGTTAGCAGCGATTGATATATGTGGTGGGATATGGAGATATCTTATCCGGACATTCCTGAATTAACAGGATGGCGCGCACCATGGACTTCGTGCTTCCTCGATGCATTCTCTCCTCAGACCTATTCGAGATGGTTCGAGGAACTCCAGATAGGCCTAACGTTCCACGTCCCACTGAAATGATTCATGAAACGTGGAACAGGCCGCGAATCGGTCTTACATGTCCTCTCTGAAATGGTTGGTGAAAGTATGAATAGGCTTGCGATTGCCTTAACATTACACGTCCTCAACGAGATGTCTCGAAGACCAGGGATCAACCTGTATAGGCCTAATTGGCCCAGTAAGTCGAGGAATGAGTTTCTTTTGAACGAATATAAGTAGACCTAGGCCTGACCCGAAGACAGTCCGTCGGTTAGGCCTAGGCCTAACGTTAGTGAGTCCCGGGGGAAGGGTGGGAGGGTTGAAGAAAGGGAAAGCCATTGAAAATTGGTTTTCACATTATTATATCGACTTTTGCCCCATTCCGTTTAAGTTGGGGAAGGGTGGGAGGGTTGAAGAAAGGGAAAGCCATTGAAAATTGGTTTTCACATTACTTCATGAATACAGTATGAGGGGGGGGCAATAGTTTCATTCACCACTGCCGCCAGCAGAGCTAACAGGACTCTCATAAGGTGGTTTATTCCAGAATCTGGCGTTTGTTTTATCGGGGCATAATCATTCTACATATTCTTTGGGTTCCAGAAGGTATTTAAATCAAAATTGTCACCCTTTATCGATAACTATATGACCTAGTGCAATTTTGAAAAGAAGCAACTCGAAGCCACATTCCAGAAATAATCTATCTCTGGTATTTATGCGAGAATAAAACTGACCTGGCTCCCCTGCCTCAGGAACTGGTTCCCATGCCACTGGAATTCCCATGCTTCCGACTTGTCGAGGCGTTCTTCCGCCCGAAGGAGCTGGGCTAATTTCATCAGCACGTAATTATGAGAGCGAGATAATCTCTGGAAGGTGGCTTCGAGTTGCTCTTAAAAAAAAAAAACTATTCCACTTGGCCAATGTTCGCCACAAATGTAATCCAACTCGACTGGAAGTTGGACGGACTGCAATGAAGAATGTTGCATTTCCTTTTTTTTTAATTTTTACATTGGATACAAGAGATACCCGACAAAATGTGCGACGTGATTCGCGTCCGCAGTGAATTGCCCTTTCTCCAAGAAGGCATCGACCTCGTCGCCCTCGTCCAGATGGAGCAGGATGGATTGACCGGGATTCGCGTGGCTTCGGGAGTAGAGGCTCGCCTGGGTCTCCTCGTTTCTCCGCAGGTTGACGAGAATCTCGTAGTTGGATTGAGCCGAGAGATGGAAGTGGAAGGCGTAGATCCCGGGGAAGGGGGCGGTGAAGATGCCGATCTTCGGCATCATGCCGTCGCCCAGGTTCACCAGAGTCCCCTCGTACGTGATCACGTCCGTGCTCCTCGTCGACGCGTTTCGATACGCGTCGAAGTAGACGCCTCGCTCGGCGATGCGAGCGCCGGTGTGAACCTGAAAGTCGGGATCCGCCTCGTCCAGTTCCATCCTGCAGAGGACGACATCCAACCGTCCTTCTTTCTCCCTGATCAGATGATAGCCGGTCTCTCTGTTCCCGCCTCGTCGCAGAGACGCGCACGACACTTCGGGAAACTCCGTCTCGGAAGTCTTGCCTCCAGCGATCTTGTCTCTGGAGGCCTTGCCCTTGCAGACCAATCCGCCCAGCGTGAAGTTCGCTCTCTGCCCTTTGAACTGCAGTCCGCCGAATCGCAGCTGGGTGATGGGCAGCGCCGTCTCGTTGGTGATCGTCCCCGAGTCCGATTCCCACTGAGGCGCTTCCGCGTCGCAGTTGCAAAGCAGGTTGTTGTCGATGCAATCGTCGATGCGCCCGCACTTGCACACGTGTACTGCCGAATTCCATCCGTGCCAATAATATTGAGGTTGGCCGTGGCGGTCGACCCACCATGCGTATTGCGTGGCGCCGCCGGTGCTCAGTGCCGCCGAAAGGCAGCCGTACTAGAAACAGAGTCCACGGTCAATTCTTAATGACGTCGGGCAGACAACCCGTTTCTTCGTTTTTTATGAATTACTGCCACCAAAACACTATATCGAACTCTATGCAGCCACGTCGAACTCGACAACTACATGACGAAATCAATAAGGAAACAGGACTCACTCTTATGTATTGGTCACACGTCTGCGATTGATCGATCAACGACACCATCTGTTTCAGCGATGCCTCGTACGTGATGTTTCGAACGTAGCAGCCAGGATCATCGCAGCGATCGATCTCTGTGTTTTCCTTCATCGAGTCGTGCAGGACGATGGTCGACACCGGATCTGAAAATAGAGAATTCCACGTTTATGACGTTTATGAAGACAATCTCTCAAAGTAATTTTTTTTAAACCTTTTTTCTTTTCTTTGCACAGACCTGTTTTCATGTCGCAGAAGACTTGGATGGGCGGATCGCCGACGAGAGCTCCGTCTGGGTCCACGAAATAAGTTCCCGTCTTCGTCATCCCCAAGTCTGCGAGAGCTTGGCACGATCGGGGGGCTGAAACAGGAGGATCAGAAGTTGCACTTCTCTGCCTCCGAAATCGGAAAAATAGTTTCCAGAATTTATTAATAATAATATTAATAATGATGACCGAACAACGCTCTGCTGGACAAGGAAAGGAAAGAATTCTATGCCATCAAGTTCTCTCGTCCTGCCGAGCATAGCATCAGCTCGAAGGAGGAAGAGAAAAAGGGAAGTATGGAGCTGTTCGAGCTTCGAGTTCGAGCTTGTATCCCAGCTACAAAGTGATGCCGAGGCGGAATGAAGGACTCCGCTCTTGAGGCGCTGCAAACTATCGGCTCCAACATTGGTCGTGCGTGTGCAGAAAGAGGGCATCCTGGGATTTCTCTGCATTCTTCGGGCTCACTTGGAAGATTAAGGGCCCTGGCTACCCACCCTTCTTGGGGAGGAGGAGGAGGAGGAGGAGGGAATGGGGAAGGGAGGGGGAGTGGGAAGGGAGAGGGGGAGGAGAGTGGGGGGTCTTTCCACCTTGTGACAGGGCGTACTGAAGGACCACGTGAGTGGGAACTTGATGCGCACTTGATGCGCACGTGCGCACTTGATGAGTGGGATCATCAGTTAACAGGCGGTCAGCGGTTTCTCTTGAAGTCACTTAAAATAATAGTAATAATAATAATTGCTAATAATCGAACTCACTGATTTGCAGCATGACGATGGACTCCAAATATTGGAGTCTCGCTTCGACGCCGTTTCGTTTCGTCTTCTCGCCTTTCTCGGGCAGGAATTCCTGGAGTTGGGATTTCAGGGCTTCGAGGTCGCGCTTGAGGGCTTCGTGGTCGTGCTTGAGGGCTTCGTGGTCGTGCTTCAGCTTCTTGTTGTCGTGCCGCAGGTTTTCGTTGCTGGCTTTGAGCTGTGCGATCTGATCCGCGTGCTCTCGAGTCGTTGCGTCCAAGTTTGACATTTTCTCCTCCGAGTTGGCGTCGGCCAAGCGGAATCCGTACATCTAGAAACATCGGGAACAAATAACAAAAAAATTATGAAACGTGCGGAAATCGCTGCCAGGCAAAGGAAGGGGGGGGGGGGGAAATGTCATATGTCGCTGGCAACTCGAATTGTAGTATCCCCTTTTCTCTCGCACAAAATCCGAACGGCGATGGCGACTTCTGGAAGGCGGCACCGAAGGTTTCCGACTTCCATACCGGAAAATTGCCGCTTCCATTATTCAACGTCATCACCCGCACGAACTCACCGATATCACCTGGATTGCACTTACCTGTCCGAAAGCGAATTCCGGCAATGCGATGAGAGCGAGGACGAGCGAAATGGCATTCATCTTCTATTGCAGTCTCCGCTTCTTTTCTCAGACCTGTGAATGAGAAATGGCATCGTCCAAAATGTCTGCGGATCGGAGTTTTGCTGGAACGAGTGGACGAACGACGAAGGACCTCAAAGTTTTACAACTGACGATTTTTCTTTTTGCCGCTTCGAAACGTGGAAGAAGCCATGCGAAAGTGCATAAATGATCATTCATAAATGATCATGAAAAATAAATGATCATTCGGCACGTTTGGCATCGAGAGGGGATGATCCGGTGATCCGGTGAAGCCTTTACCTAGCATGCCCGGAGCAAAGGGCAAAAAGGTCGAGGAAAGACGAAAAGCGAAGAAAGTCTAAAGGGAATGGGGATGCCCCGTCGTAATTTTCCTAATGGAATGGCCTCGTTCCCGGGAACGTTTTCTTGCTTTTAGCTTGACGATGCCTCGACGAGATTGCGGAGGGAGTGGCGCGGGGGAAACCGACGGAAGATTCTGTGGGACTCGGACGATGACACGAACGCCTGTTTCCGCGTGGGGTCTCCTTTCTTTTCACAAGAATTTTTTTTATTACTTAAAAGAAAAATCAATAAAACAATGGAGGGTCGCCATAGAGGATGGAGCTTTTGCGTGCGATCAGTTTCCGGGTGATTGCACTTCTCGCGTTCGTCGGAGGGTCGTCGAGTCGCCTGTTGAATATCGCAGCCTGCAATTTTGACTGCTTTCATCTTCGCGTTCGAGCCGGCAATTGGTCGGGCCATCGTCACGAGATCGAGCCGGCAATTGGTAGGGCCATCGCCACGAGATCGAGTGAATTCGATCGTCCGATCCGGTTGAATCGCGACGCACCATCGCGTCTGCCAGCACGGCGATCTCGCGAAACCGGGCGACTTCCCCTCGTCGACGGGCATGGAGTCGTCTCGGGGATTGTAATGCGAGAGGATGAGACCTTAAATGTTTAGACTGTGGAGCGCAGCAGATGGAATATCTCACCCATTCGGTCCCAGCACATGGCATAAGCACGACCATGCCCTGAGCGGAATGCGAAGCGCTGGTGTGACTCCTCGCACGAACGCTCATCCCCCTCCCTCCCCCCCATGCCCCCCATGCCCCCTTCTCCCCTCCCTCCCCCCATGCCCCCCCCGCCCCCTTCTCCTCTCCCCAACGTCCAAGACTGGACTGATCCATGAAAGGTGAATGTCGTCGGCCGGTCGAGCGTGCATCCCTTCTCCATCTAGGGTGAAGGCGAAAAGGTGCTCGTGTGTCCCTCGCTCCTCGCTCCTCGCTCCTCGCTCGTCGTGGAAGTGGCTCTCAGGGTCAACACTCGAGACTCGAGACTCCACCGCATTTACAAAAATTCACTTCACGTACTGGCGGTTATGTCTCGCGATTTCTTTTCATCGTGCGTTCAACGGGCTTCCCGTTTCTCGTCGACGGGAAAAAAAAAAGGAATTTCGGCTCGCTGTTGCCGTTTTTGAGCGACCGTTTCCGAAAGGCACGTGCGAGTCTCGCCTCGCATTTCTCTGTTTCGGTTTCTCCCGAAAACGCTCTTCGACGGGTCGACTGCCGTTTGGCCCACCGGTGGGCTTGTGCCGAGCCCGCGGAAGGGAAAAAGGGGAAACGCTGGAAATGGGAAAAGTGGTTTTCGCTAAATTCTGCCTTGCACTTCGAGATCCCTTCGATTCGAAGACGAGGCCAAAAATTGCGCCTTTCGGCTGACATTTTGCCAATGACGAAAATCGCAAGCAAGGAACGAACGGAGGAATATCACAGTCTATCGAACTCTAAAAAGGCTAAATGCATTAATAATAAATTAATTTATTATTAATAATTAATTAATAAAAAGCATTGCGGATGAAGGGCCAATCTTTCCTTGTGATGTTTTGAGAATAGGTACGAAAGTATCTTATTAGATATTTACAATATATTATAAGATACTAATTATCTTACCGGATAACGTGAGGTTAGTATACGTCCTCCGGCGGATCACGACGCCGACTGACGACTCGGCACGTGACGGGTCGTCTAAATACGCTTCAAGGACACCGGCGGGTCTAAAGGTCTAATGACCTTCGGGGAACTCCTTGGGAAACTCCTTCGTGTTGGTCTGTACAGACAGAAATATCGATTTTTAATGGTTTTTTTTTGCCATAGAATGCCATAATAATTTGAGCGCTGAGAGAACGGCACTTTCGTTAATTTTAATTAGTAATTAATGAACAGTTACACTTGTATGGCACTGAGCCATAGCAAGCCAAAATTTGCACATTCCTGCAATTTTTCAGTAGGTTTTGAGCGACTCGGCGACCTTGCCACAGAAAGATTTCAGGGCGAAAAAAAAAAAATCCAGAAAGGCATTTTTGAGTCCGATCGGTTCGGTTTGACGCCATTTTCTTCCATCGTCGCAAACCGCCGAATTTAGAGGGATCGTATACGGAAACGGCGTCATTCTTGGCTTCTCCCGCTGATGTCTTTCGTCGCGATCTCGTTTTTTTTTTTTCTTCTTTTTTTTTTGCGGGGCTGGAGGAAATCCAGGAGAAACAGGGGATCGTCCTCGGGTGATATTCCGGGAATATCTATTCTTCTCTCTAAATAAACACGGAAGAAACTCCTCTGGGATTCCCTTGAAACGAGGAATTTCCAGGAATCAAGTCAGGAATTTCCAGGAATTTCCAGGAATTTCGCGAATCGGAATCCAATCTTTTTTGGAAAGCGATTCATCAAACTCGAATTGAATTTCGCTTCATTTCGAACCGACCATAGTTCAAGACTGTTCACTCTCCAAATTGTCTATCTTAAAAATATAAATAAAAATGAAAATAAAAATAAATAATAAATATAAATAAAAATGGAGCCTGATTTGATTTTTCCCCTTGGAAAACTGCCCCATTGAAAATAATTACAGCTATTTTTTTAAATCATTATTATAACATCCAAGCTATATTCTAAATCTCGACTGGATTTATGCCGGACGCGGGGTCAGTCTAGCTTATGCAGAAAACCGCAGGACATTCCGGAGACGGTGCTCGGCGTCGCCTCGGTTTCCAGAAACATTGCGATGCAGGGAATTCTTAGGTTACAATGAAGTTACAATTTTTTTTATTGCTTAACGTTTGGTAGTATGTCAATTTTTTTTTTAAGGCTTCCTACGACAGTTTGTAGATGAAATCAAAGTGAAGAAAAAAGAGAGTCAAGAAAAGGGAATTTCGAGGAATTTTCTGCTTCTGTGAGCGAGCCTTCAGGCGACCGCGTTTCCTCTTCCACTTTTTTTTTTCGAAAACCCGAACTGCCGAGGCAATGTCGACCGACACTCGAACGTCGTTAATGATTCGTCTCACATATATATATATATATATATTTTTTTTTTCCACTCGAAGCACTCCCTGTCCGACGAGAGAAAGGCGAGAGCGACACTCACGTGTTTCCGTCGCGGACGCGCGGAGTCGACTGCCGCGGAGGACCTCCCGTACGGACGCTCTCGGGGTTCCTCCTTTCCTCGGGATCGGATGCTGGCGCGGACGGTCGACGTTCCGACGGGGGGAGGCGGGGGAGGCGGGGGAGGCGGGGGGAGGCGGGGGAGGCCTCGGAGGTCCCAGGGGTCGAGGAGGCCGTGGCGTGACGTCATCGATCGCTGCGGGTTTTCCGAGCGTGTGCCGTGATGGCTCGTGGGTGTCACCGAGGTTGTTGGGACGTTGAGTCACCGGTGACTCACGGCACTGCGCGATGGTGTGCGAGGGGCTGTCGAGAAGTGCCAGGAACGCTTTTGTAACTTCGAGATCCCTTACCTGAGGGAAATGTTTGTAATGGCATTTGAAAGCCCATTCTTTAGTGTGCGTTTGGTACTAATTAGGAATTTTTTAAATAGATGTTTCTCGTAGATATGACCTCTGGCAGTGACCCGCGTAAAAACCACACGGAAAACTTGCGATTCCCTGACCTCGAAAGTCGTGCACGCATCAAATCTAGTCTATTCGACTCGAAACGACACACTTGCGGCCTCGACGCGACAGGTGAAGGGGATTAAGTGCCACTCGTGCTCCTCACCCGAGACATGGCGAATGGCGAATGGAGGGATTTTCCTCCAAAAATCAGGGTTCCCGACTTACTTTCGTTGAAATCGGGATCCCAACGGATCTCTCTCGGCTGATTGAAAGATGCTGCGCTTTATCTGGCAACCAAATATACGCATATCTGTTTGACATATCTGTTTGGGCGCGGCCTACCCCCTCTCCATAGACGAACCACTAGCGCTAAATATCACGAGCCGCCACTGCATTTCCCTCAGGTAAGGGATCTCGAAGTTACAAAGGTGTTTCTGGAACTTATTGACTGCCCCTCGTAAATATATATATATATATATATATTTTTTTTTGAACTTAACAAACAGGGTGTCGTACGGAATGAATTAACGCATTCGCTATTTATTTATTTATTTAAGCATTTTGCGGGCGTGAGCTCATCTTGAAAGAGTGCTGCGTAGAACGCTTTTCTTTTGGCCAGGTTCCCGTAAGGCGAGTGACGTCAGCCAAAATAACGACAGGCACATCCGTTAACCGCGTGGTTTGGTGCTGAAACCGTCGAAAACGGATTCGACCGATCGGAAAACGCGTTCGGTTTCGATTGGGGCTGTCGCGATAGATCGATGGATCGATATCGATCCATCGATATCGATGGCAGTTCCAGAGTTATCGGGACGAAAGTGGTACAAAAAAAAAAATCGATTCACGAAACCGACTTCCGGCTTCTGCGCTGCATGGCTTTTAAAAAAAAAATTGACCAAACGAGCTCCATTAAACATCGATTACCTGACGGTTATTCATTGCTGCCGCAGCATTCTATTTGAATAAATGTAACAATTGCTTGGTGAATTTCGCTTTTTTGACAAATATGTTTCGTCTGTAACGATGGAAAACTCTCCTGGCCGATTCATTTTTGTGCAGCAAAAAATTTCATCTGGCGCGAAGAAAGGTGATGAAACGAAAACCGTTGTCTAAACTGTGTTACGTCGGTAGCACGACATGAATGGCCTTCATTTTTTTTTTATCCATGGGAGAAATGAGAAAATTTTGAAGGTCTATAAGACCTTCAAAATTTTCTGACCTTTGCTCTATAAGACACTGTCGACATGGAATTTCTGGACCAGGCCGCTTTGAGATATCGCATCATGCATGATTTCGTTTTGAGTCTTGGATTGCATTTGGAAGTGCCCATCACGATCAAATTCCGGAAATGACTGACTATATGAAAGGCGGGAAGGAAAAAAAAATAAATGGCGGATCGGAGACAGGAAGTGGGAAAGGAGAGGAAGAGAAGACCGAGAAATATTTCTTTCTCGTCTGTTTCAGTGTTCGGCTCGACTTGGATTGGTTCATCCCGCTCTCTGTGTTCCAAGTCTTTCTCTTTCGTATGCAGGCTTAACTTTTGGCTTAACTTGCCCTGGGGCATCTTATCTCTTTTCTTAAGGCGAACTCGAAGTGAATCTTTTACGTGGACGTTGCTCATTCTAGGACCTTAGGGATCTTTCGGCAACCGCCGGTATGGCACCATGGCAGGTTTCCGATCTGCCGGTGCCGATGTCCAAAGAACACCGCGTAGAACGAAGAAAAAAAGAGAGAAAAAAAATTACGCCAACGGATTTGACGGCCGATTCTCGACGGCGAGAAAAAATTCGGCCCGTCCTGACGCATCCATCGACGAACGCTGTCATTTCCGGCAGTTGGAGACACGGCAGGTCCCCATTCCCCCCGCAATCCCCGATCACAAGCGTCAGATCATGGAATATGGATAGGTCCGAGTTCCGATCGCGGCAAGAAACGATGGAAGACAAACCTCTTCCTGATCCCGATGAGAAAAGAATGAATCCTCAGGTACCCCCCCCCTCCCCCTCCCCCCGATGCATCGATAGACTGTCGATAGTTAAGGTCGATGCATTGATGTTTTGAAAACTGTTATCGCTACAGCCCTAGTTTCAATCCATCCCTTATGACGGTTTTGGAGCGGACGAAGCCATCGATGATGTCACACACCCTTCTAATGCAACCGTTGCTTTCTTAGGCGCTATCGACACGGCCTACCAGCGGATCTTACGTTTCCTCCAGTCTTAAGTATGACGCGAACCGATATTCAGTCGATGTAGTCGAAGCACCAGTAAACGCCTCTAGAACGCTGATGGAACTGAGCGAACACGGAAGCACCGTGCGGAAGGCGTCCGAGACGTGGAGGGCTTCTTCCAGCCGTTCTTAGATCCACCAATCGGGAACGAGTTGACGGTCACGTGACCTTCGGTACGGCGTCGCGTGTTTCCTCGCGTCGTCAGTTCTCTGGGCTTGTTGAAGCCGGTGTCGATGGAATCGCATGCTTCGCGTGGACGTGGAACCTCTCCGCAGTGAAACGAGTCTAAGCTCCTCTCGTGCATCTTCCTTCTATATTTCGACGACGAAAGTTTCGAGACGACTCAAACCAGCCTGAGACGTCTGGCGCGTCTTCGGGTTCTCTCCATCGATACGACTGACAAGGGGTATGTCTCTCTTGTCTGTTGCCTCAGCTCAACTGTGAGCCTTGGAATTCCTCGTGCAGTGAGTTTATCGGTGTAAGTTAAAAAAAAAAACCAAACAAATCCAGTAAGTTTGGATATCGGGGGATGTACAGGTTTTCCATTTTGCAACATCGATAGGCGCGGTAGCGCCTATTACCTTTCTAAAACCCCTTCCCGCAGCAAAATTCAACCTCTTCGCATTCCTCTGAGCATCAACAGGAATTAAATTTGACATACTTCTTCCTCTCTCACCACAGAATCGCTCCAGCAAATTTGAAACTATCTCCTCGGGGCTGTGGAGAACACTGAATCTCGTTTTTGAAGGATGTGAATTTCATTCCTTTTTTTTTTCTTTCCCCCTGGGTAGCCATTCCTGGGGGTTTTCGAGGAAAGAGACCAACCATGAGAAAATTATTGACTCTTAGATGACGAAAATTTGACTTTTTTGTCGTTTACGGTGTTTCATTTCGCCATAAAAAATGAAATTAGCTGTCGTTCAATTTGGGTTAGAGTGCTTGCTCCGGTACCGTCCCCCAGTGTTGTCGGATACCGTGCCGACATTATGCTAAATTCAAGTCTGTTTCAACCTTCGTGTTGGCGTCTGGATTTTCTGTTTTTTTTTTTTATTATATATTTTATTTATGAGACATATTTGTGCTGAGTTCATGAGTTGAGTTGAGAATGAAGAGGTGGTTAGCAGTTATTGATCGATGTGGTGGGATATGCAGATATATTATCCGGACATCACTGAATTAACAGAATGGCGCGTAATATGGATTGCATGCTTCTTGAAGGCATTCTCTCCTCAGACCTATTCGAGAAGGTTCGAGGAACTCCAGATAGGCCTAACGTTCCACGTCCCACTGAAATGGTTTATGAAATGCGAAACAGGTCCCCGATCGGTCTAACGTTACGCGTCCTGAACCAGATGTCTCGAAGACCACGATTCACCCTTATAGGCCTAATTGGCGCCGTAAGTCGAGTATTGAGTTGCATTTGAGAAGAAAAAGGTAGGCCCTGGTGTGACCTGAAGGCAGTCCGTTGGTTAGGCCTAGGCCTAACGTTAGTGAGTCCCGTAGAGAGGCTGAAGAATGGGAAAGCCATTGAAAATTGGTTTTCACATTATTTCATAGCTTTGTGAATGGAATCACAAATGCCCTCAGATTAGACTTCTTTCGTATACTTCGTTCTGAGATCTGTTGAAGTCTCCCCCATTCCAGGTCCGAAACGCCCAGATGCCATTCGAACATGTAGAACTTGACCATTTTTTAATGGAGTGAAACTCGGTTGGAATCGCGTGAAAGAATTGCGAAGCTCAACGAAAAAAAGTTTCGTTCGAGGCTCGTTCGACGTCGTGCACGATTTTCTCTGAAGACGAACGGGAAAACGAAGAAGCCCCTACGGAAATCTGAGCAGACTTTTTCGTTTCGGGTCAAGCCCGTCGGATCGTCTTGGCAAAAATTAAACTCCGGAGGCGAGACGTTTTTCGGTTCCATTTTCCTTGCTGATTAGGCACGTTCGAATGGGAGTTCATTTTCAACGGTCATTTTCCATTTCATGCGAGTAATTCGCTCGCCAAGGTGCTGAAGTACTGGAAATGTTTCCTGTTCACCATCTAATACTTCAGTTCGTAATCGAAGGTCCTTCTCGCTTTCCGTGGCAAGTGGGAAAGACACACACAGACTGATGATTTTGACTCATCAGACTAATTTCAGGCATCCAGACATTTCTGGCAGCACTGATTAGAATTTCGATGGAGTCACAGGCGGCGAATCCGGCAAAACCTGCGGAAGTCGGTCGTGAATTCAAGCTTGAAAACCAAAGACTGCGCACATATTCCGAAGTTTCTGAGCATGAGCATCGTGCCCGATCTGCTTCAGCTCGGACAGCATTGTTGGAATCATGTCTGCCGGGCTTCAATCGCCTTCGATCGACTTTAATCGCCTTCGATCGCCTTCGATCGCCTTCGATCGACGGTGCAATCGCACTCGTCATCGAAGGCACGAGAGCTAGCGAATGTCGGCAAAACACGCTTCAGAAAATTCTCATATCAACGGAAATGAGATTTCTTCATCTTTTCTGATTTTCATTCCAGACCTCGGGCGAGATTGAATACTGGCATTGGTATTGAATATCTCTTGTTTTGTGAAAGACCTCACCTCTTCTCCCACTTTCTCGTTCGGCTTCGCTCTAGCCATCTCCTCCGCCTATATCTCTCAAGAGAAAAACCACTAACTTTTTCTGCTAGTTTGAAAGTACTCTCCCTCCTTCGTTTCTCGCACTTGAAAAAGTTCTCGATTTTGCACATATTAAGGAGTGGTCATCGATTGTACTTCCTCGTTTTTAAGGAGTAAAATAACTTACTCCAGTTTCGCTCCCTTTCTCGGAAATCGCTCACTCTTTTCTAAGAGTGTAGAGCCATCTCCTCGGTCTACAAGACCGAGCTCATTCATCAGAGATTCCCGAAGCGACGAACGAACACACTTCGATGTAAAACCCGCTAGACAAAACACGAAGCATCGCTCCACTTTTTATTCGACGTGGGATGCAAAAGAAATGCCGCAGAAAACGGAATGCATCCGCAAGGCAGACATCCACGTCGCCACCCTTCTCCAGGCGGAGTCGAACGGACAGCCCCGGCGTCCCACACGCGACCCTCAACTCGTCCGTTTCGTCTCGATTAAGACCTGCTGTAAATGCGATTGTAATGAATGCGGAGAGCGTGGATGCCGGCCGCCAATGTTCGGTTCCGTCGCGTCGCTCGCGTCGACTCCGATTACCCTCGTGAGGGATGATGCATTCAGTATCACGGTGAGTTACACGAAACGCCTGGAAACGAAGACGTTTTCTCCGATGCTTGCACCGGTCTCCACCTGAAACTCGGGGTCCGTCTCTTTCAGGTCCATCCTGCACGAGACGATATCTAACCGTCCTTCTTTCCTCTCGATCAGATGATAGCCGGAATGATTGTTTCCGGCTCGTCGCAGAGACGCGCACGATTCCGCCGGATTCTCCCGCTGGCTCGCCGAATTTCTTGGAAGATCTTTCCCCGTCGCCTCTCCCCTGCAGGCCAATCCACCCAGAGTGAAATTCGCCCTCTGACCCTCGAACTCGAACCCGCCGAACCGGAGCTCCGTGACAGGCAGCGCCGTCTCGTCGGCGACCGCTCCCGAGTCGGATTCCCACCGGGGCATCCCCGCGTCGCAGTTGCAAGGCAGGCTGCTGTCGATGCAGGAGTCGGTGAGGCCGCACTTGCAGACGTGTCTTGCTGGGTTCGATCCGTCCCAGTAATGTTGAGGCTGGCCGTGGCGGTCGACCCACCACGAGTGCTGTATGTTTCCGGTTCTCAGAGCCGCCGAAAAACAGTCGTACTGAAAGAAAATGTGATTATTATTGTACGTATATTAGGACGACGAAAAATACTAATCGATGGTACCGTCCTGGTTGCTATTGATGTGCCTTTAGACGATTTCCATGCATTTCAGCAGGAAAAAAATTTCTGGGAGCAACCAAATTCGAACTTTAATTTTTTAATGCAAAAAATTTCGCGAAAGGTTCGACTCACTTTCACTCGTTGGTCGCAAGATTTCGATCGATCGATCAGCGCCACCATCTGCTTCATGGATGCCTGGTACGCGATCTTTCGCCTGTAGCAGCCGGGATCGACGCAACGATCGATTTCCGTATCTGCCTTCATGGAGTCGTGCAGGACGACGGTGGTTACCGGATCTTCGAAGAGGAAAATTCACGGCTCGACACGAAACACACGGTAAACCTTGCCATTTCGATCGAGAATAGGATTTCCGTCGCACGAACCCGTTCCCATGTGACAGAGTACTTTGATCGGTGGATCGCCTTCGAGGGCTCCGTCCGGGTCCACCAAGTAAGTTCCCGTTCGATTCACTCCCATCTCGGCCAGGTCCTGACACGTTCGCGGGGCTGGAAAGGAAGCATCGCACGTTGCGATTCCGCGGGCTCGAAACGACGAGTCTGCGGAACTCACCGATCTGCTGCGCGATCGCCTCCAGATACTGAATCCTTTTTTCGTCTTTGTTCCACCGAATCTCCGCCGTTTCGTCTCGCTCTCGCAGTTCCTCCTCGAGACGGGTCTCGAGGCTCTCGTTCTCCCGCCGGAGGATCTCGCTCTCCTGCCACAGGCGTTCCGCGTCCGCCTTCAGCAGGGCGAGGTCCTCCGCGAGCTCAGAGAGTCTCGATTCCAATAGGGACATCGTGTTTCCCTGGTTGGAGTCTTTGCTTTCCACTCCGAAGATGGCGAGGGTCTAGTTTGAAAAAAAAAGAAGAATCGATGATGAGATAGACTGATGGAAATAAACAGATGCCTTTTTATTAGTCCTTCTGCGAGGATATCTTTTCTCATTGCAAGATGTCTGTAGATGAACTCCTGAAGACAATGATTAGCAACAGTACCAACTTAAGAGTCTTTCTGACGATTCTACACCCTAAGAAAAGAGTGAGCTATTTCCGAGTAAGGAAGCGAAAATGGAGTTAGCAATTTTACTACTTAAAAACATGGAAGTGCAGCCGCTCACCTCTCTCTTTTCTGAGAATAATCACTAACTCTTTCTACTGGTTTGAAAAGTACTCTCCCTCCTTCGTTTCACGCTCTTGAAAAAGTTATGGATTCTGCTCATATTAAGGAGTTGTTATCGATTGTACTGCCTCGTTTTTAAGGAATAAAATCGCAAACTCCAGTTTCGCTCCCTTTCTAAGAATGTAACGTTTCTTTATTACCTGGAATTTCTCGCATTCGAATTCGAGAAGACTTCGTCGAATTCAAGCTAAACGAGATGGGCAATCTCAGTCCAGTAGTGGGCCTCCTCTCATTTAAGGAAACTCTCATTTTGTCACCTACTAGTAATTGAACAAAATGCTGTCTCTTTCCGGTTTTCGACCATCAAAAACCTCATTTCTCTCTAATATTATTTGATAAACATAGACAAACGGTGCTCATGGAACGATGATGGGAGGATGGAGGACTATTCGTGGTAGGATCCATCCGCCACGAAGGTTGGTAGGGAACTGACAGCTCTGGTTGCTGACACGGCGCCACCCCCAAAAACTAGGGTCGCACACGCATGCGCATTGTGATCTACATCCTGAAGGGCTTATAGGTACTCATGCCTTCCCCTCCGTTAGCAAATTTCAAATCCAAAATTTGCAATAAACATGCCGATTTTGGTGCAAATTCGCCACTAAACGAACTCAGCCTGTACATTGTTCATATCTATCCGCTTACCAATTTTCGCATTGATCAGACCAATATTTTTTTAGTTATCGTCGGACAACCAAAGTGTGACACACGGACACACGGACGGACAGGACGGGACTACAAGTGGTCTCTTTCCTTTCAGGAAAGGAGGCCCACTAAAAAAAGATTAAAAAAAAAGAAGAAAACATTGGGAGAGAATGATCAAGAGGAACTGGATTTCACTTACTTCTCCAGAACCGTATTTGGCGAATGCGATCGAGGCAGACACGAAGAGGCATAGGAGGCTTGTCATGTTGACGAACGCGATCGTCGGTTTCCGCGAGCCTGGAACGGAAAATATCACATCTTCGTTCTTAAAAGTGTTTTAAAAATTTTTTTCGTCTATTTCAAAGGAACGATGAGTTGGGTCGAGAGCGAAAAAACTACTTAGTACTGGACTTTAAGTTGATGGAGGCGCATCTATTCGAATCGAGATCCTTTTCGATTCCCGATTTTTTGGCGGGGCAGAGTAGATCTCTGGCATCATGGAAAAACCTGACCCTTTGTTTCTGCTATGTTAACAGGTTATCATTCCGGATGCCCGGAATGTCTTTGGTTCTCTCTTTTATGGGACAGAGAGAGAGAGAGAGAGAGAAATGCAGTAGGATTTAGCTATGCCATGTGTTTCAGTGCTGTTCGCATGAGTCGGGCGTTCCTTCGCTCGACTCCGGCAGTTACGGGATGCTTCCCACGAATGGAAGTCGGAACGAAGTGAAACGATGAGCGTCGCCGTGGCTCAGCGGCTGAAGAGTCTCGGAGGTCCGCGTTCCGATCCGATCTGCGACGGGCGGATGTCTCCCGTTCAACCGGATGCTTTTCGGCTATTGCCTGCGTTCAACCGGATGCTTTTCGGCTATTGCCTGCTCTCACTCGGCCTCGAGTGTGGGTCCCCCTTCTCTCTATGATGAGAGATCGGCACGCCATCGTAGCTCTCTTCACGTGCGCCATGATTCCTTGAGCCGTATCGACGTTGCCATCACATTTCCTGGTCCCGCGAAAACAGGACGCAGAATGACGGAGGAGATGGAAAGGACGTGGTGATGGAAAGGACGGAGAGAGGAGGGAATCTCTTGGGAATCTCGTGGGAATCTCGTCAGGGATGTACGATAGGGATCGCCCTTCCTGTACTCCGTCGCAGTCGCGAGTCCATTTCCTCGCGTTTCCTCTCGTGGCTGATATCCGATATGGCGGGTTTTTGCACAGTCGACTCGCGATCGATCTGCACTGGGATGGAAATTGAGAAACCCTGCTTCTGGAGGAGTTCGTATGGATGTTTTCCTCCGAGAATTCTCGTGCGATGATACTTAAAGAATGAATTAAAATATTCATAAAAATAAGCACTGTGAATAATGATTAGATATCCGATTTAAAGGAAATGCCATAGAAAATAAGGAATATAAGGCCAACGGGCCACATGTATCAAATAGAAACGAGCCTAAATACCCGGTCCCGCTAAACAAGAGGGAAATTCCGACCGCCGGCACAAAAATCTCACCCGTTCGCGTGAAATCCAGCTGCTTTCTCCTCGGGCCACTCACGGAGTCTGGAACAAATGATTCCAAATGTTTATACGTTTCAAACGCTCGTGGCAGGGAACCCCATGAACTCGTCACGCCTTCCAGTAATGCGTGGCGGGACTGTAAACAAGGCGGTTCTTCTCGCGAAGAGAGGGAGGGGTCGGGGATGCGAAGCGGCTTGGCACCCCGAGTGGAGGTCGGAAGCCAGACCTTCCCCGGCCGGGTCCGTTCCGCAGTTTGGATCATTTTCGATGGGGGGATTGGATGTGGGGGGATTGGATGTGGGGGGATTGGATGTGGGGGGATTGGATGTGGGGGGATTGGATGTGGGGGGACTGGATGTTGGGGGATTGGATGTGGGACTTCCGGGGTGGGGTGGGAGTCGTGTGAGCCGTCGGTGGGTGGATAAAAATGCTTTTGATCTTGTGGGGTCGAGATTTTAAGACTACTATTGACGTCTTTGGATCAGATCTTTCAGAAAAGAAATGATTTCGATTGGAATTTTTGACATGGGAAAGGTTAATGGGAGCAACCCACGGAACTGAATCTGGAATACCAATCTAACTAGTACGCTTTAACTCCTCAGACCGGTATCTCGAATGATATTACCGACTTGAGGGGTTAAGGGGTTAAGGCGCGAAATGCTCTCATGCCTGGAGCTGTTGGGTGGAGGAAAGTTTCGTTTCGTTTCTCGTTTTCGGGAATGAGGAATGACCGAAGAGGAAGATGACAATCGTTTCCGCTGGGTCTGCAATAACGACACAGACGGAAGATATCTTCGTCGATGAACTCGATGGCATTCGCATTTCCGATTTAAAAAATTCCCCTTGCTTCTCTCCGCGATGATTTAAGGGGAAAAAAGTTAACGTAATTTAACCAGCTCTTCTAGGACGAATGCATAAATATAACCCGTCGATAAGAGCCGCCTCCTGCTGGTATATAAGACACGGACGAGCATCACATTTTGGGGCGAAAAGTTCCAAATAATTAAATCCTTATCCTTGTTTTGCCTTCTTTATCTTTCGACTATACGATAGCAGCAGTTGAAGGATGAATTGGGTTCGCCTGAGACAAGTTGCCCTGTGGCGGAATCCACTGCTTCCTTGATGTAATTGCTGCAAGGAAAGTTGTTTTTTTTTTTTACTTTTATTTGAAAAAAAATCTGCAAAACTTTTTGCAAACCCTGTATATTCACTCGCTTCGGGCACACAGCCAGCATTTGCGCTCGTTAAATGCTCGGTGTGAAGAACGAGTCTTTTCTCTCGGCCCCTCAAACGGTCCGAGAAAGGACTCGCACAAACCGGGAACAAAAAAAATTCTCGTGCGGGTTGTGAGCAACTTCTTCGGGAGTGGGGGGAGGGGGAGGGGGGGAGGGGCCGAATATCGAATTTCGATTCCTCCGGGCTCGCTTGCTCATTCTGATCGAGTCCGACTTGCATTGATTGTATTAGAAGTTTCGCTCGCACGCCAGCTATACCGTAACCGGATTCCCGAGCACTCGTTCGCAGAAGTTGGGTTCTCGACGGTCGCGGAGGGAATGCGGTCGGAGTCAAGTTTCCCGATGGAATTGCGCAGGTCCGTTACAATACACGGGTCCGTTACAGTCGAGGTGCGACGAAACGAGGATTCGATCGGAGGGGCGAGGTGAGGACAGGGGCGGATACACTAATTTTTCATAACATCCCCCGTTCCCAAGTTTCTACCTACCTACCACCATTCCTCGTCCTTTCGCCTTTTTTTATTTTACGTCTGGGGGAAGAACTTGCGTATCTATTTCATTGGCTCCAATAAAATTTAATGCAGATGCTATTTTGAATAAATAAATCTGGGGGGGGGGGGGCCGTCGCCCCCCCGCCCCCCCCCTGTATCCGCCCCTGGGTTAGGATCGCCTCGACAAGCATGAAACGTGCGTTATCGGAGAAAGATTTCTCTCATGATGCATACTGCATGCAATGAACGAAAAAAAAACTGCCGATGTTTATTAGACCTGCTTACATACGGGATCCAGGATCCTTCAGTACAGGTACTAAGTCCTTTAGTACAGCGAAGGTCGAAGGCCATACCGATCCAAAAATTCCAAGCATTTCATAAGGTACTTTCCAGTGTTTGCGACCGGTGAGCGAGACGCTTCGCATGGAGCCGGTGAGTAGACCAGAGGAGACACAGAGGTGAAAGGGGGAGGATCAAAATATCAAATGTTTAAAGGGACATCTGGAGGCCCACCGTCGACTGTTTTCGCGAGGCAAGTTGCAATGCAGTAGAATCCGGATCCGACTCGTTTGGGGATTCCGTCCGTTAGGAGCTCCAAAGTGGAATCAAAGTGCCCGAGTCGCCTGTTCGGCCGTCAATTATTGATGCGTTGCCTGAGTGGAGGATCAACAGCGGAATGGAATGGAATTCGAGTCGAGGACACTTTCGAGTCGAGGACTCTTTTCGAGTGTTCCCTTTTAGTTGCGCTCTCGAGTCTCTGGTGGGGCCGAAATCGAGAGGGAAATCGAGAGCGGATTCGGGGAGTGGGGACTCGGTTCCTGTCGCTTCGCGTTTGCCTTTTCCTTTTCCATCGATGTCGTGTGGATTTTCTGGAGTGCAGTGGGTTTGGGCTTACTTTTCCGAAAACGTATTTGGGGAATGCGATGAATGCAGATAGCTGGAATGTCCCTCGTATCGATGCACAGCTTTTTCCATCGGTTTCCTCAAACCTGGAGAGGGAAAAATTCGGAATTTTTCTCGAAAAGGTTCGAAGAGAGCACATCGGTGTCGAATGACCGGCCGAAACGAGAGATCGAACCGCTGCCTGAACCGTTCTCGACGATTTTGCGGTAGAAAGAGACCGGACAGGCGACGCTGAAAATAGGGAGCTGATCCCATCGAAGAGCGCGATATCGCCCTTCGAATCCCTGTTTAGCGAGTCGTCGGGCGTGCCACCCGCTCTCCTTCGGGGGGAGATAGCGAGAGAGGACGTTCGTGGGGCAAAAGGAGGTTTTTTTTTTTCTCTCGGGCCTGGACTGCATGACAAAGCGAGACTCGGCGGAGTCCGGCGACCCTCCACGTGCCATGCATGGAAGCACCGAGAGCAAAAGAATCCCGATAGGAGGGCGGAGACGCGAGTGCTGGAGGATGCGAGCGGAGCGGGCGAGGATGGAGGGAAATCCCGGCTGCTTCCGCATTTCAACTTCAAGTTGTTGTCGAGTTCGAAAGAAAATTCCAGAACTTGAATGCCTTTGAGGCGTTACTGGACGTTTGCTCGTCTCTCAATCAAGAAGTATCTCGCCAAAAAGAGAGAATTTTTTTTAGTGGACCTCCTTTCCTGAAAGGAAAGAGACCACATAAAGTCCAGTCCTGTCCGTCAGCGTGTCCGTGTGTCAGCGTGTCCGTGTGTCCGTGTGTCAGTGTGCCACACTTAAGTTGTCCGACGATAACTAAAATATATTGATCTGATCATTGCGAAAATTGGCAAGCGGGTAGATATGAACTAGATACAGGCTACTCTACTCAATATAGGGACGCCTGACTGCCAGAGTTCTGCTAGGCCATTTATGCATTTTCGTAAATGAGCTGGTTAAGCTTGCCCAACTCTACCCTCAAATAGATTCTATGTCCTCTTAAACGTTAGGTTTTCGCATCATTTTCTGCTGATATTATTTCTTCCTGCTCATGCCTGTCTATTTTTTTTTATACTAGGCATAGATCCATCTTAACCTAACGTCATGTGTATGATAACCAACATTATGCTTCACCGTGTCTCTAGTTTATTGTATTAAGTTAGCCGTTTATTGTATAACTTTAACCTAACCCAAGTGAAATTAGTTGGAATCATTCCTTTTTTTTTGGGGGGGGGGGGGGAATTTTATTGTGTTCACAGGCATGTGGGCCATGTCGGAATCCCATAGGATTCATTACGGAAACCCATGGTTTCTTTATGGGAATCCTAAAGGTATTTTCCATAGGTATTTCCATAAGGTATTTTCCACAGGTATTTCCATAAGGTATTTTCCACAGGTATTTCCATAAGGTATTTTCCATAGGTATTTCCATAAGGTATTTTCCATACCATTTAAGGGTATCGCTTGTTCGAGCGATGAGAGTTGGTTTCCCATTCGCTGCTGCGAAAGAAGTCACAACGAACAAATTGTGCTACAAAGGAATCTTCCCTTTTTCCGCTGCTTAAGGCTTCTTTGGGTCTTTAAAGATGGGAGACGAAACGGGGATGACGCTTAATTAACGAATGTTATTCCTCTTTAGCGCTCTATTCCATTTTTGAACGAGGGAGAAAACGTCTTTGATCCAGGAGAGGTGATGGGAGATCCTCTTTTCTGGCGTCGACTCGTTCTCAGAAGTGACAAATACTTGTATTTCACTAACGATCTGACAGACTGTAAGAAAGCACAGAACATTTATCCATTCCCGCCTTTTTACATCGGATACAACAAATACCCCACAAAGTGGACGTAACGATTCGGGTCGGAATGCACCGTCCCCGAAGCCAAGTGGACGTCCACTCTGTCGCCCCTCTTCAGGTCGAGCAGGATCGCCTGTCCGGGCGTCTTGTGGTCGTCTCCAGAGGACTTCATGCGTCCTTCGACTCGTCCGTTTCGTCTTATCGTTACGGAAGCCATATAGTTTTGAGCGTAGTAATGAAAATGGAAGACGTAAATGCCGTCGATGGGTGCGGTGAAGACCCCGTCATCCGGTTCCATCGCGTTGCCGACGTTGACGGTGGTACCCGAGAACGGAACGGTTTCGACCTCGCTCAGAGACGGTATGCCGTATGCATCGAAATAAATGGCCTCTTCGGCGAGACGGGCACCGGTTTCGATTTGAAACTCTGGGTCGGTCTCTCTCTCGTCCATCCTGCAGAGGACGACGTCCAGCCGTCCCTCTTTCCTCCTTATCAGATGATACCCCGTGTGAGTGTTTCCAGCTCGACGCAGGGACGAGCAGGAATCGGGTGGATGCCACGCTCCGGTGCCTCCGGTGCCTCCGGTGCCTCCGGTGCCTCCGGTGCCTCCGGTGTCTTGGGTGCCTCCGGTGCTTTCGGTGTCTTCTTCCCGGGGAGTCTTTCCGTGGGGAGACTTGCCCTTGCAGATGAGTCCTCCCAGAGTGAAGTTAGCCTTCTCGACTGAGGACTGAAATCCTCCGAACCGCAGCTGGGTGATGGGCAATGCGGTCGCGTTGGTGATCGCTCCCGAGTCCGATTCCCATTTGGACGCTTCTGCGTCGCAGTTACAAGGCAGTTTGGGGTCGGT